CTAGCGTGGCACTTGTTACTACTAGTAAGGCACTTGTTACTACTAGCTTATTGTTACTAGTAGTAAGGCACTTGTTACTAGAAGCGATGCACTTGTTCCTACTAGCTTCTTGTTTCTACTTCCGTCCGGAGCGGAGAACGAGGACTTGGAGTTTCGGCTCTTCTCGTCGCGGAAGAACCGCCGGGTCTCCCGAAGCGAAGATTCGGCCAAAGCGTTCAACACCATTCGCTCTTCGGTCTTAGGCCAAGCTACGAGTAGTAACAGGTGCCACGCTAGTAGAAACAAGTGCCTTACTAGTAACTAAGAAGCTATTAGTAACAAGAAACAATTAGAATTAAACTTAATTACTACGAGCTTCTTGTTACTACTAACGCTATGGGACTGAGGCATCATTGGGTGCGTGGGTGAGCCGGTGAGAGTGCAGGTGAGCCATCAGGCTGGGAGAGGTGGAGAGATGAAGCGGAAGTAACTAATAGCTTCTTGCTGTGACGATGAAGCTTCTTGTTACTACTAGTAAGGCACCTGTTACTACTAGCGTGGCACTTGTTTCTAGTAGCTTATTGTTCCTAGTAAGGCACTTGTTTCTAATGGCTTCTTAGTTACTAGTAAGACACTTGTTACTAGTAGCGATGCACTTGTTACTAGTGATTCTGTTAAGTCAAACATGACTTTGTGGTTGCTCAAGCTCTTGTTTCCGTGTTTCTTTGCTCATCCACAGCCAATTTGTCAGGCACTTCCTCCTGCAGTGGTGGGAGGCCTCAGACTCTTCGATGTCAGACAGTGTCTTTTTCGGAAAGGCAAAAGGACACTAGTCTAATACTAATTCAATAAACAAGTCGAATGACTGTCCGATGGGGATCAGTCAGGCATCAGTGAAACAAAAGTACAAACCAAAAGACAAAAATAAGTAGGAACAAGAAGCTATTAGTAACAAGTGCATCGCTACTAGTAACAAGTGCCACGCTAGTAGTAACAGGTGCCTTACTAGTACTAACAATGTTTGCTATGCCCGGTGCTCCAGGAGCGATCGGACGCGAACCGAACGGAGCATTTCGGGCATCGCTGCGAACGGAACAAAGGACACTACGAACGGAGCGGACTAGTAGTTGCCGACGAAGGCTTTTTAGAGGTTCCTAGTCTAGTAGCGAACATTGTTTCTAGGAGCAAGAAGCTGCTAGTAACAAGTGCATCGCTACTAGTAACAAGTGCCTTACTAGTAGTAACAAGAAGCTGCTAGTAAGACTTTGAAGTTGTTGAGTTCAGACTGAGACTTGAGGCCAGCTTACAGGTCTGTTGTGAGGGCCGCAAAGCCACACTGCGTCCACGCCCTGGAGAACAAACGGGACGGCAAACAAGCTTGTGTCTAAGACCGGTTGGGAAGGAAAAGGAAGGGAGAAGCGAAAAAGCTCGTCCTTGCTCCTAGTAGCAATGCCAGGAGCCCCTATTAGCTTTTGAATGTAAAGGGAAATGCATTAAGTTAGCAATCATCCATCCCAAAAGAAAGATGGTCTAAATGAAAGCATCGTTGGGTAAGCATGTGATGAGAAAGCAGTTCAGCTACAGCCAAGACAAAGCCTAGTAGCGTTCACATTTGTAGCCGAATGCCGTTGGGTTGAGTTTATGCCGAATTTCGCTGTAGGTTTTTGGCCAGGTTAGGGGCCTCGAAAAATGAGGTTGGGCAGGCTATGAGTTGGGTGACGCTGGGAGCCCCGGCTAGCGATGGCCTCCAAGGCTTGGCAAGCTGCTAGTTATACAGAACAAAAAGCTGGGCGACGCTTTCAAGACGCTTTGGAGACCTCAACTGGCAGATTCACCTTAGGGAGAACAGGTCGTCACGCTTCTTTGAGAGAAGACGAGAAAAAAGCAAGCCTCAGAAGATGATTTGTTGTTCATGTTTATTCCTTTTGTTTTTCCTTTTCGTTTGTTGCTTCTGTTTGAAGCCAAAATGCCAAAAGCGCTTTTTTCCAGTGCGCTCCAAGGGCTCTTGAGCCTTAGGACGCTTCATATGCAGAGCGTATGCAGAGCATCATGCCGTTACATTGACGAGAATGAAGAATACAACAAACGGAAAGGAAGAAAGGTCTAGAGACAAAGTAGCTACTAGGAACAAGTGCATCGCTACTAGTAACAAGTGCCTTACTAGTAGTAACAAGAAGCTAGTAGTAACAATAAATAGAATTAGGTCTAAAGAAATCAGGTTCCTCACAAGCGCAGGTATCCTCCGAACTCCGAACTTGCAACATCAGACTTTCAGTAGAATTAGAATTAACTTAATTAAATTCTATTTATTGTTACTACTAGCTTCTTGTTACTACTAGTAAGGCACTTGTTACTAGTAGCGATGCACTTGTTCCTAGTAGCTTATTTGTAGTAGACTCTTAGAGTAGATTCAGAAAGAGCCAGTACTAGCCGGTTCTGTTTGCTTTCTGTGAGGTAAAAGCGAGGAAAGTGGAAGCGGAAGCGTTGCGGTTGAACATGAGGACTGATCGCTTGGGCCCCAACTCACTTTGTTCCACCGTGAAAGAAGACGATTCTTTGAAAAGAGAAACAACAGGGGCGTATATTGAAGGAATTCTGGCAAATCAGTTTGAGTTCTTGCGACACTAGTACTGAGGAGATATAGTAGCGTCTTACTCCAAAGGACGATCAAGACATTTGATAGCAGCGATGCCAGGAGCCCCTAGTAGCATCTAGTAGCGTCCGATCGCTCCTAGTAGCGATGCCCTTTGCTCCTAGTAGCGGTCCTGACGAGGCAAAGACGTCGTGGTGGAGTTGCCCCCAGAGACCACACAGTGCCGCACAGATGCCATATCTCAGATGAACTGCTAATCAGCTAATCAGCTGCTAAACCCTTCCGAAATCAGTTTCTTTTGGAAATACTGCCGAGTTTGAGAAGAATGAGATGAACAAACGATAGATTCTGTTGTAAATGAAATAAATATGCAAATTGATTTCCAAGGTAGATAGATATAAAGATATACTGTTTGCAGGTATGAGATGACGGGCCTCATTCCTGACACCGACTACGAGTTTCACCTTCGCTTGGAAAGTCAGGCAGGTGCAGGCGGGGAAGAGAGATTCGTTTAGGAAATCGCAAACTACGTCTATGTATCTATTTTTAGAGGTGAGAGGCGAGAGGTCTTAAAGAAAAGAACTTCAAGAGAGCAACAATATCTTAAAAAAAGAGACATGATGACGAAAAAAAGGCAAAAACATGCTAAGTAAGACGCCGGGCCTGTAGCCCTTGCAGGGCCCCTCAGCGCTCAGGTCGCGAAGCGACATGCCACTGCCGGACCAACGCACGTTGTTCTCAACCTTTGAGCCTCGAAAGAGCGACGCAAGTTGTTTTTCTTCGAACTTTATGTGTTTTTACTTTTCTTTACCTTAGTTTTTGTGTGTGTGTGTTTTTTTACATGTACTGTTCGTTTTTTCCCGCTCTTGCCTTGAGTAGGCGCCTTGCAGGCGACTGGCGGACGCAGTAGTGCTCACGCTTCAAGGAAACGTCCCCCCTCCCGTTCTATGTTCCTAGTAGCGTCCTCTTGCTCCTAGTAGCGATGCCCTTGTTACTAGTAGTAAGAGTGTTCCTGGTAGTAAGGCCAGGAGCTACTAGTAGCTTCTTGTTCCTAGTAGCGATGCCCGCCTCCCGTTCTATGCATATGGTTCCTAGACTTTTAGGCCGGACTTTCCGGCTTCGCGTCATTGTCTTACACGGACCGTCCGATGTGTTGCTTTTGTGAAGGGTGTTGATTCCTGTGTTTCCTAAACCCAATAATTTGTCCGAAGGACTCTTGTCAATCTTGTTCATTTTCCTGTTTTCTTTTCACCTTTTTCATGTCATGCTACTCAACTTCTCTTTGTCATTCCCAGGAATGTGGTGAGTGCTGGAGCCTCCACGACCTATGTGGACTTGCAATGGCGAGCGCCAGAGGCCGAAACGAAGCGTTTCGTCTCAATGAAATGACATGAAAACATGACGTTTGACAAACATGTTTTTTCCATGGCACAAGCCGAAAGAGCGGTGTTTGTGGCCGCCACAGCAAAGAATGAATTAAGTATGGACATGGTCTCCTCCACAGAAGTCGGGGCCCCTTTCTGCCTCAAACTGTTCGATGAGATGCACAAACCATTCCGGAATGGGGGGGGAGCGCGTGCGAACACTCCAGCGCTGGGCGCACAGTGGTGGGGTACTCCAGGATCGGTACTCTCTTCCAGCTGTCTAGCCAATACCGGAAGCTGTCTGAGGGATCGACACCCTGCTTTCCCGAATTTGCTTATTGCCTCTCCAAACGTTTTTGATCTGAAAAAGCAAATTAAAAGACAATTGTCATGATGTCATTAAAATCTCAAATTTGACATCATGACATGCATTTCTTGGCAGATTGGCGCTTGTTTCTGTTTTCGCATGGTCAAGAGCCGCAGGTGATTGGCAACGAACACACACAGGATCGTTGGCAGCGCCTTGGCTGTGTGACTTTGGTGCTGAAAGTGCGAACGACCTTCACGAGACGAACAAGAGGAAACGCACTCATTCCCGAGCAGTATGCCAACCGCAGGGTTCTGAGACCTGAAACTCCGCAAGCTGGGGACCCAGGTTGCAACCTGAAGCAGTCATCCGTGTGAGGCTGAGGAACTGAGTGAAAAGAAGACATGTTTTTCCCAATTCTTCTTTTGACTTACTAATAGCGATGGCCTCCAACCTGAGAGCGATGGCCTCCAACCAAAAGCAAAGGACATGCCACAATATGCCACCCATCATCACCCGTCATCATCCGTCATCACCCGACATGGCCGAGAACAGGGGCGACATGGCCGGACTGAGTGACAGACAGACACTGAAGCTCATGATGAGACTGTCGCAAAAGCTGGGTACAATTTGTCGCAAAAAAGACGCCGAAGCCCTGCAAACGTCGAAGGCCACAGCAGCGAATGTAAAGCTGCCACCATGATGCCATATTGGCACAACAAGAACCATCAATTATAGGACCGGATAACCCCACATGTTAACAACTTCACCAGACACAGGAGCGGACACTTGGTTGGTTGGTTGGTTGGGTGTTTGGGTGGTTGGTGGTGGTTGGTGGTTGGTGGGTTGCTGGTTGGTGGTTGGTGGTGGTGGTGCCAGGGCGTACATCCGAATTGTGAGAGAGCACCAAGTGCCGCGCCTGCCACGCAAATCACACTGGCAAAGCTGCGGCGACCAAGCGACCCCAGGGCCTTAGTTGGTGACAATTGGTTGGTGGCAATTGGTGGGTGGCAATTAGGTGAGGAGCGAGGAGGAGGAAGGAAGGAAGGAAGGAAGGAAGGAAGGAAATCAAGGAAGGAAGGAGGAGCGGATACCACACTAAAAGCAAAAACCCCACACGTCAATGTGGGGAAAAAAAGGACCCAGATCACGAGAACAATTAAAGTGGTGCCGCTGAAACATCGGTACCCCCGCAAGCCGCCCCGATCGTAGCGAACATTGTTACCCACCATATTTGTTTAATTGTTTCTAATAGCTTCTTGTTACTAGTAGTAAGGCACTTGTTACTAGTAGCGATGCACTTGTTCCTAGTAGCTTATTGTTACTACTAGTAAGGCACTTGTTCCTACCATATTTTTTACACACTTTGTTGGCTCCTGGCCTTACTAGCAAGGATGCTACTCTTAGGTGCTCTAGAAACTACTAGCTATTAGGTGCTCCTGGCCTTACTCCTAGTAACAAGAAGCTGCTAGGAACAAGTGCATCGCTCCTAAGACGCTGGAACAAGCACGTTGACCAAGGCTACGAAGCGCAGCTGAGCATCGCTGAGCACGTTGGTCCTTCTCCTCGGAAGTCCTTGTCGAAGAGCTCGGGACGCCCGGAAAGGGTTACAGAGCCTTCAAGCTTTGCATAGAAACTACTAGTAGATTACTAGGGCATGTAGCTATTAGCTAGAAGCTACTAGGAGGTCCCAATGGGATTGAACCTAAGATCTTTTCACAAGCTTAAAAAACAATCATCCGCGTGCTTGCAAGGTGGTCGACCATCCGTTTGGTAGAGCTGATTGAGTTGGTGTCCTATTTGACCCTGAAAAATTGAACCTCCTCGTAGTAAGGCCAGGGGCCCCTAGTAGGCTACGTTCGTAGCGTCCGATCGCTCCTAGAAATGCACCTGTCAGTAGCGACGCCCTTGGCTGCATTCGTAGCGATGCCCGGTTTCTCAGGTCGAACTTCCTTTCAACTTCAGGACGAGTCGAAGACTTCCAGGTCACGGGGCGAGAGGATTTGGACCTAGTAACAAGTGCATCGCTATTAGTAACAAGTGCCCTACTAGTAGTAACAAGAAGCTATTATGTTTAGTTTTAAATATAATTCTAATAGCAAACATTGTTACTAAAAGAAAGGAAGAGAAAAGTCTTGAAGACAAAAGGAAAGAACCAAAAATCGAACATGAGAAGACAACAAATTGCCATGGCTAGGCCCTTCTTTCTTTGAACATCTTCCCGTTCCTTCCTCTTCCTTCTTTTCCTCTTTGTCTTCGTTCCTCATTCTCCGTTCCTTCTTTCTTGAACCATCATTGTGTTTCGTTGTTTTTGTTGAAAAGAAGACTTGTGATGTCCTTCTTAGGAGCAAGGACGCTACTAGGGGCTCCTGGCCTTACTTACAACAAGAACACTGCTAGAAATAAATAAATCAATAGAATGTCCTTCTTTCTTTCTTCGTTTTTCGTTGTCCGTCTCTTTCTTCGAGGCCCTGCAGTTGGGAGGTGGCCGCGCTCGCCGCCGGGCCGCTCTCGGGGCGTTTGGGTGGCCTCCGTCGGGGGCGCCCAGAGAGTTGGACACACTCGGCGTCACCCGAATGCCACCCCCTTTACTTCAAAGGCGACGACCGACTTTTAAAGTCCAGATACTTAAGCAATTAGTAACAAGTGCCACGCTAGTAGTAACAAGTGCCTTACT